CATACACTCACTCCCTGGTGGTTCGGATGGTGAAGAATCCGCCTGCAATGTGGTGGACCTGAGCTCAATCCCTGGGTTGGGAAGACCCCCCTGGAGGAAGGCATAGCAACCCACTCCAGTATTCGGGCCTGGAGAATCCCCATGGACAGATGAGCCGGGCAGGCTACAGTACAAGGGGTCACAAAGAGTCAGACCCGACTGAGCAACTGAGCATAGCACATATACACACTTGCGTATGCACACATTTGTAAGTAATATACACAGTAAGTGCCAGGTGGTAAGGATCACATGGCTGTGAGCAGAAGCGCTAGATGCGCACAAGCGCCTACCTGTCCTGGGATCTGAGGGAGACACATCCTTCTGGGACTGTTGTCAGGTGTTCAGCAAGTTGAGAGTGATGCTTGGGGAGAAACTGCTAATCTTCCAAGCAAGAAGCTTCCTGGGAAGTGTTCCAGAGGCCTTGGTCCAGTCTGGCGGGTCTTTGAGGGTCCTAGTGGAAAATCAGACTGTCAAGAATGATTTGTGACAGGGGCTGTTGTCTCAGTCCAAGTCACCGAGGCAACAGCCCACAGCTTTGCCAAAGGACACAGCAAAACCCCAGTGGAAATGGTGTAGATCCCACGCAGACCATCAATACCACCTGAACATCCACAGGGTGTGACCACAGGTTGACCCTGGAGCTGGTCCAGACAGTAAGGCTCCTCGCCCTCCTCTAGCTGTAAAATGTATGCCCACAGGTCCTTCCCTGTGGAAGGGAGCCATTTTCAAGGAGGTTGTTTTGAGATATTGGGGTGATGTTGAGACCCTCTGAATTGTTAAAACTTTTCTATGAAGTTGAGATTTTGAAGAGCAGGGGTAGAGATCTACTCACAAGTAGCATGTGATCATCATTTGTATAAATAAAAATATGTGCAGTTGAAATCCTGTTGTTGCTTAGTTGCTAAGCTGTGTCTCTTTTGTGACCACATGGACTATAGTCCACCAGGCTCATCTGTCCCCAGGCAAGAACACCGGGTCCATTAAACATAGTGCTCAGCAAAATTATGCTCATGACTTGGATAAGCCAGGACCTTATCTAAGTAACACAGTGATTCCCAAATACTATTTCAAAACTTAATAAAGGATTTCCATATGCCAGTTTCTGTTCAAAATCCTTTAATCCCCACAAGAAACTGGGGAGGTAAATACTATCATTATTTTGATTTTACTAGTGAAAAAAAAAAAAGAGAGATCAAGTGACTTTTTTGAAGTTGCACAGCTAAAAAGTAGCTGAGCAATAACTATGAACCCAAACAGTCCACCCTATTAACCTGGACCCTCTAGGCTATAGTGCCTAGCAAGTTAATATCCTATCAATGCATTCTTTTTAAGGAAAGAGCTACTTTCTTCCTTTTTTTACCCCTCTCAAACTGGGTTTAGAATGTCCTCATAATCCCATTAAAATATAAACACCTCAGAGAGATGTGAAAACATTGAGTGCTAATAGCACTGCAGGTGCTGTGCGTATTCTGATTTTATTAAAATAGAAAGTTGAACTGCAAAAGAAAATCAAGTGCTAAGAAAGGTAACTCCAGGCACCATGTCTGGCTCACCCTGCGGCATTCTACTCATGAATATGGTAACCAAGAGGAAAATAAACATGCCCAAATCATTATCCCAGAGGTATATGGTATGTAAGCACTAAGAATTATTTTATTCTGCTCTGGGGCCCCTTTTACACTCAATTCTTTGTTTCTCCATCTCCTTATGAGCCTGTGCTGCAGAAGCTCTCTATCCCCAAGTGGAAGTGCTCATTTTCCCCACTCATCTGAGGGACCAACAGGTCAAGATAACACAATGTACTGAGAAGTGATTGGGTCCTTCCAGGGTTTACATGTCCTCAGAGTAATAGGTCCAGAGGACCCCTGACTGCTGCCAGGACCCAAGTACAACACCCATTCCAGTGTCTCCCCACAGCCTGGAGACTTCCCTTCCCCACCAGACAGAAGCTCCATGAAGACAGAAGAGCACTGACGCTCTTCGCTGTCATGTCCCCAGTGCATAGCTCAGAGCCCTTCCTGTGAGGTATTCTCAATAAATATCCAATGGATGCAAAATCTGCTTCTAGCCAGGGGTGCAGATGAAGGTATTTTTGTCCCCTAAGGGACACTGGACAGTGTCTGGAATTTTTGTCATCACACCTCATGAGGAAGGATGGAGAGGAGTGGTAATGTGGTCTACCTGGTAGAGGGCAGGGATACTGGTAAACCCTAGGACACACAGGACAGGCTCCATAACAAAGAATTTCTCAAAGCATCAACCCTGCTGAGGCTGAGAATCTCTGTTCTAATCCACTGTATCATTTTGAATAATGAAAAAAATGAGAACTGAAGAGATGATATTCCTGACTCAATCTTGCCCACTAGAACAGTGGCAGTCAGACCCGGGGCCTGACTCCCAGTGCAGGCTCCTTTCCTCACTGATTAATGCTCCAGAAATCAGGACAAGTCTCTTCAGAGCATTCATGTGGTTTCTCAGGCCAAATAAGCTCATGCTAAAAAGAGAATCTTATCTTATAGCATGATTCCCTATTTTCATTAAAAAAAAAAAACTACATAGCTTACTTTCCTTTACTTTTCTACACTGCTGAGGCACTGCTTTTTCATCACTCATTTTTCTAAAGATGGGTTAATAGGTGGCTGTGTGCTGTGCTAAGTGGCTTCAGTTGTGTCTGACTCCTTATGACCCCATGGACCATAGCTCACCAGGCTCCTCTGTCCACGGGATTCTCCAGGCAAGAATACTGGAGTGGGTTGCCATTTCCTCCTCCTGGGGATCTTCCCGACCCAGGGATCGAACTCCCGTCTCTTTTGTCACCTGTATTGGCAGGTGGGTTCTTAACCACTAGTGCCACCAGGGAAGCCCAATGGTTGGTTAAAGGGTGAAAAATTAAGGACAAGGAGGTGACTCCTGAGCTCTTTCTCTCTCATTCTCCCTTTAAAGAGAAACAAATGGAGAAGAGTTAAATCCGCTAACTTTGAACAGTAGTTGCACTATCAACTTCTGTATTTTTCAAACTCTAAGCAACACGACCTGAGCTCAAGCATCTCCTGAAGCTGCTGACCATCCCCCTGGCAGCCTTGTTTTCACACGTGCTCTCAGGCTCCAGGAGGAGGCAGAGTAGAAGACAACCAGAAGCAAAACCTCAGGGTCTAGACAGCTCTGCCACTCACTGGGGCCAATTCATTAGCTTCTCTGAAACTGAATTTTCTCATGAAAATGGAAAATTGCTTAAAGGAAAAATAATTATAGGGATGTTGAAAAAAATTTAAAGATGAATTAAGTTCCTCCTGAAAAGACTGAGCACCTACTTGGTGAAGATAATAGATGTTCGCTTTTAACTGGCAATAGAGCTTTTATTTTTTTTTCATTCTTTTAATCCTTCAAAACAAGACTAAAAATACCAAGGCAAGAATTAACAGCTAAAATATATTCCTCCCCCTCCTCTTCCTCTCCAGTCAGTAACCCCTAAACTCTTCAGGCCCTACTACATGATGAACAGTTTGCTCTGGGCGTTAACTTGATGACTTTTGTCTGTTACCGGCTCTAAAGATCTATTAACATTGATTATCTAGCGTGGATTTGTTACTGCACTAGACATTCACCAGGCGAGAGGGAGGGACAGACAGGAAAGACTCTGAGCTATACCCTGCCCTCAGGAAACTCACAGTTTAGTGAAGAGACAAGACGAGAGCACATACAATCCAAAACCACGAAGTCGGTGCATGCATGTCTGAGACAGATAATTCTTCCACACTTTCAAACAACAAATTCCACTTGTGGCTTGGAGCATGTGCTAACTAGCATTAGACACCCTTCAAACATCACTTGCTGCTGGGCAGATGCGCGGACAGTAGAGACCTCCTCAGACAACGCTTGAGGTTTGGCGCATGCGCTGACTTTAGATACCCTTCGGGATCGCTGGCGGTTGGACACACTGGTGGTTGGGCGCATGCGCTGACGTTAGACACCCTTCGGGATCACTGGCTTTTGGGACTCACTGGTGGTTGGGCGCATGCGCTGACCTTAGACACCCTTCAGGATAGCTGGCGGTTGGGAATCACTGGCAGTTAGGCACATGTGTACAGTGAGGGTTAGGCTTTCTGAGTATCTCACTCCGTCTACAGAGTGAGTTCATTTGGCTAAGAGGAAGAGAAGGGGCTCTGTTGCTGATCTCTAAAGACTTCTGAACCCTTTTTCATTCCTCCACACTCTAGTCTGACAAATCCTCAAGTATACTCTGGGACAAGGCATTGGGAGAAAAAAAATGAGAACCACTGGTTTAAGATACATGTATCAGTGTTCAGCTGACTACCCAAAATAAACTACGATTAACAAGATTAAAATAACTTCAACACTTCATGTTAAAGAGGCGGGGATAAGCTCTCGTTAAGGCAGTGCATAAAAGAGCAGAGCAGTTTTCAGTGCAAGCAGCCTGGTCTTGGGAGCCTTGGCCTCCCATAGGAGGAAAGAAAGAAAACAGGTGGGAGCGAGTCATGCGTGTCCCATCAGTGTGAACAGATTTCTTCTGCTTTTGAAAACTGGAGTCTCTCCTCCCTGACCCCACGGCCCACAGCAAACACACTCAGCAACATGCGTTATTGACCCCTCACTCTGGACCGGGTCTTTGTGAGGTCTTACAGATGGTAAGGTGATTAAACCATCACTGTTGCTCTCAAGCAGCTGGAAGTCTGACTAAGGAGACTGTTAGAGAACAAGGAAGATTAAGGCAATATAACCTGGTACATGAAACAAGGATAAACGAAACCTAGGTTTCGTACTTAAGGTCTAAGCAGGGGGCCAGAACAGCTGTTAAGAGCTAGGGTGGAGATTTCATTCCAAGTGCCATTGGCAGTAACAAGCAGTCAGGGACACCACAAAACAAAAATTTCACAAGGACTTCACCAGGCTGAAAGATCAGGCAGGGAATTCCAGGCCAACGGAATAGCATGCCCAAAAGCCTACTGGTGGGAAAGCCCAAGGATTATCAAGGAAAAGGCAAATATACCTGTGGGCTTTAAAATCCCTAAGCCATGTGGAATCAAAGAAAGGCTTTTAACTATGGAAATTACACAAAAGAGATTACAGTGGACTCCTCCAGAACTGGGTAGAGAAGGAGTTGGAGGAGCAAGTCCAGAGTCAGCGAGAGCTGTTAGAAGACCCGAGACCAGGTCACAGAGGGGGCCCTGGATCAGGGCCGTGTCTTCAGGGATGGAGAAGAGATGGTGCGTTTGGTAGGTATTTTGGACAAACAGCTCAGTCGAGATGCACCACATTCCTGAGTGAGTATTTGACCATGATGCTGTGCTACAGTTGAGGGCCCAACAATTAGAGGAAAGGATGGGCCCTAATATCTCCCAGCATAGACACAGGTGAACTACTGTGAAGAAGAGCCACTTTATTCAGGCCTTTGTGCTGTGCAAAGATGCCAGGAGAAAATTAAACACTTTATTTCACTATGTATTTATGAAGCACTTCACTCATCCCAAATTCTCATTTATTGCCAGGCACTGTAATACACTCCCTACAGACGTAATCTCATTTACTATCTTAAAAAAGTTTTTCAAAGCAAGTTTTATTATTTTACATATTTATAAACAATAAAGCCAAGTTTTATTGTGTAAGTACCTTGCCCAATGTCATAGTTAACAAACTACTGCCTTACACATACAGAGGAGAAAAGCAAGAAAGTATTTCAACAAATATTAAATTGAATTTTAAAATGTCTGTATCCCAGAAGTTTATGTGGCCTGGTCTTTGACCATTAAATAAATCCCCAAAGGAAATAGTTTCTTTCATACATTGCTGGTGGAAATGAAAATTGGTGTGCTCCATCTGGAAGGGAATTTGGAGATGGTTAACAAAATTTCATACACACCAACCTTTTGACTCAGCAGTTTCACTTCTAGTAATTTATCCAGCAGCTACACCTTCAAAAATATGAAAATAAATGTGAACATTTCTTCAGCGTTGCTTGCATATGCAAAATACTGGAAACAACCTAAATGTCCATACATTGAAGAGTTATTGAATAAACTATAGTCCATCCATACACTGGATGCTAGGTAGCCATTAAAAAAGAGAGGTGGGGGGTTGGGGAGACAATTTCCCTGAATTGGTATGGAATGACTTTAATGATCTGATTTTTAAGTGAATAAGAGCTGTCTAAACTGTTTTCTGTAGAGTATGTTATCCTCCACCTACCATGATGGTCCTGAACAAAGTCTGCCTTACCATCTTTAACACACATCATTGATTATTTTTTCTTTAACATTAGTAAATTTGTTTTTGATGCAAGGGTGTGAGTTAGAAATTCGGAAACTAGTTTATGTGTATACTTGGATTATAGTAAGTGAATATGTGGTGAGAAATGAGGGCCAAGCTTCTCCTGGTCAGAGAAAGGAGCTATAAATAAGGAAAGAAAGAAAATGACAATAAATCTAGTGATGCGGGACTGTGATTAGAACTATTAGTCTGAACTTACAGTTTTAATATGTGTGTGTGCATAAATAGATACAGAAATGAATATATATGCATATTTTGCATTAGTAAGTAAATATATCATTTCATAGCTATCTTTCCTAAGAGATCCTGGAAGTAGTAACATCTCAGTAGTAATAACTATACCTAGTGCTCATCTTTTGGTTTATAAGTATCATTATTTGATAAAAGGAAATGGAGATCCTTAAAGATATAGGAAATTGGAGGACAGAAGCATTAAAAATTATATGTATAAGATGAGCCTGAAATACTTATGGAACCAAAAAATAAGAAGGAAATGTTCAACAAATGATGTGAACGTGTTGAAAAAGACACATGGACTAAATTAAATAAGCTCCCACTGACTAAATCTGGGACAGTATGAGCAACAAAATAAATAAAAGTATAGTAATGGATTATAACCCATAGACTAAAATAAATATCCATGAATCCATACTAATACAAAAAATAAATGAATAATAAGTGGAGATGAAAGACTTGCTCTTCCTTACAGTAGAATTCAATTAATAATTTTATAAGGAATGATGAAAATTAAAAATGACCATTAGTAAACACCACACTGAACTTTGTTGCAGAGAAGTAATCACTGAAGGATGCTAAAGTTAATGGGAAAAAGTGAGATGAGAAACAAGACATTTGAATAGTCTCAAAGTGTCTCCCCACAAGATATTTATTCATTGCAAATGTGAAAACACTTTTATGGTGGATAATTCTATCATTCAGCACCTTAACCAAGTAATCAAAATCGATATCATTAGCAGCACAAACTGCACTCATGCACCTTCTGAAATGATGCACAGAGAAGGATAAAGGTCATAACATCACTTCAGTAATGATCTTGCCAAAAATATTTTATCCCATCTAATCAGACAAACCCAGACTTAGGGACATTTGATAAGATAACTACTAGGTTGTGGTTGTTTAATCACCAAGTCATGTCCAACTCTTTGCAACCCCATGGACTATAGCCCACCAGGCTCCTCTGTCCATGCAGTTTCCCAGGTTGGAGAATACTGAAGTGGGTTGCCATTTTCTTCTCCAAGAATCTTCCCAACCCAGGGATCAAACCCACATCTCCTGCATTGGCAGCTGGGTTCTTTACTGCTGGGCCACCAGGGAAGCCCATGTCAGTACCATACTGTCCTGGTTTTGACGGCTTCGTGGTGTATTTTGAAATTGAGAAGTCTGAGTCCTCCAACTTTGTTCTTTTTCTAAATTGTTCTGGCTATCCTGGGTCTCTCTATTTCCATAAGAATGTTAGGATCAGCTCATCAATTTCTGCAAAGATGCTGGGATTGTGTTGAATCTGTAGATCAATTTGCTGTCGTATGAATAATACTAAGTTTGTGATCTGTCAATATATGATGTCTTTTCATTTATTTAGGTCTTCTTTAATGTCTATAAAAAAACCTTTCTCTAGTTTAATACTGTTCATTTTTTAAAACTCTTATTCCCTCGATGATGAACTGCTTTTGAACTTTACTCATTTAACCTGGGTCTGTTTCTGTACTCTAATTATACTCCACGACCTGTGTCTATTCTGCATTGATGCTGCACTATTTTACTTACAACAGCTTTGCAGGACACTTTGACACCAGATAAGGAAAGGCTTTCTATACTTCTAATAATTTGTTTTTCTCAAAATCTCTTGTCCTCACTCATTCTCCCATATGAATGTCAAAATTATCTTAAGTTCTGAAAGAAAGAATTCTACAGCATTCTGAATTGGAGGTACATGTTCCAGTTCATTTAAGGGACTGGACTCCTTTACAGCACTGAAAGTACCCTTACTTGTTCAACTTTTCTGTTATTTGTGTTTCAACAATGTGTTATATTTTTCTTTATGGGTTCTGTGAGGGTTAATTTTATGCATCACTTCTCACCCATACGTGATCAGGTGACATTTTAATGAGACTTTGGACTTGGAATCAATGTTGGAATGGCTTAAGACTTCTAGGGAAGTCGAGATGAGGTGAGTGTATTTTAATAGCACATGAAAATAACATGAATTTGGGCAGGGGGTGCGAAAGATGGAATGTATAGTGCAAACTGTTTCCACTCAAAATGTATATACTGAAGCCCTAACCACTAATGTGACTGTATTTGCAGATAGGGTCTGTAAGGAGGTTAGTGGTTAAATGAGGCCAAAGGGTGGGCCCTTAATCCAGCAGGAAGTGTCCTTATACGGAGAGGAAGAGACACCAGAACTGTCTGTCTGTGTGTGTGCACAGAGAAGAGGTTCTGTGAGGACGGGACAGAGGAGCCTGGTGGGCTACAGTCCTGTCCACGGGGTTGTAGAAGAGTTGGACATGACTTAGCAACTAAACAACAAAAACAATAGAAGGCGGCTGTGTACAAGCCAGTGAGAGAAGTCTGATCCAAACCAACCCTGATAAAATCCTGATTTTGGACTTCAACCCTCTAGAACTGTGAAAAAATATAAATTTCTGCCGTTTAAGGCACACGGTGTGTGCTTTCCTGTGATGGTACCCTGCAGACTATTAGGGCTTGCTAGGTGGCGCTAGTGGTAAAGAACCCACCTGCCAAGGCAGGAGACACAAGAGATGCTGGTTCAATTCCTGGGCTGGGAAGATCCCCTGGAGGAGGGCATGGCAAGCTACTCCAGTATTCTTGCCTGGAGAATCCCATGGATAGAGGAGCCTGGTGGGCTACAGTCCAAAGCATTGCAGAGTTGGACATGACTGAAGCGACTTGGCACATATGCACACAGATTTACTGATACAAGGTCCTACACATTTCTTAAAATTTTTTCCCAGATATTTTTTACTATAATATTATTCAAGGCAGTATCTGGAATACAGGTTCTGAGACTTTTCTGCACCTATTACTAATGTTCCTCGGTTCCTTTTCTTGAAGCCTGCTCTTATTGTTATTGCCTCACATGAGTTTATTTTGTAGCTTCTGTTATTTAGCTGCTGCATTCAAAGGGACCTGACCCTGGTTTACCTTCATATTGGAGGACAAAGATTTCCAAATGCTATCCTTGAGGCCAGACACATACATTCATTTTAGAGACCAATCCAATTTCTCCCCCAAATTAAATGGAAAAAAAAGTATTAGAAATGTTTGCTATATATTAATCTCAAATCATATTAAAAACAAAAAGTGGGGCTACAAATCAAAGTTACAATAATACTATCTTTTCAATTTCTTTTTTCTAAGCTTCTAATTTTATACTCTTCTTTCAGTGTCATGTCTTTTTGTCTAGACAGTGTGTTGAAAAGCAGAGACGTTACTCTGACACCAAAGGTCCGTATAGCAAAGGTTCTGCTCTTCCCAAAGGTTGTGAGACCTGGACTGAAAGAAGGAAGAGTGACAAATAATTGATGTCCTTGAACCATGGTGCTGGAGAAGACTCCTGAGAGTCCTATGGACAGCCAGGAGACCAAACTATTCAATCTTAAGGAAAATCAACCCTGAATATTTGTTGGAAGCTGAAGCTTCAGTATTTTGGTCACCTAATGCAAACAGCCAACTCATTAGAAAAGTCGCTGATGCTAGGAAAGATTGAGGGCAGGAGGAGAAGAGGGCATCAGAGGATGTGATGGTTGCATGGCACCACCGACACAATGGACATGAGTTTAAGTAAACTCCGGGAGTTGGTAATGGACAGGGAGGATTGGTGTGCTGCAGTCCACGGGGTTGCAGAGTGGGACATGATGAGGTGACTGAACAACAATAACATAGCTGATTGACAATATTGTGATAATTGCAGGTGTACAGAAAAGGGATTCAGCCATACATACATGTGTAT